CGCTAGAGGCACACGAGAGTCCGACCGTCGTAACCGACGATGTTCACAGTGTGCTCCACAGCAGGGACGGTGACTTTAGTGTCTATCGTGGTAGTAGACTTGCGCCGCATCTACTCCACCCTCTCCTCACCCAACTGGACCCAGTGTCAGGGCAGAGTCCAGAAGACGGGAAGCGGGAGAGAGGGCAGGTGGTTGGCGTGTCGTTAGACCGCACCTAGGCGTGTCACCACGCGCACTAGTCTACATATAAACGAACAGGATTTCGAACAACAAGAATGAAGGGAGGCTCAGATCCCAAGCCACAGTGAGAGCCATAAAGGCCGCATTAAGATGGAGTCATTGCAGCCTGACCCTCTGTCTTGAGAGGAGGACAGAGTTATCCCGACATTTGGCAGACTCCCAAGTCACGGTTTTTAGCGCGCCGTGATAGATTTATCGCAGAAGCCTTGGTCGAGAATGAGACCCTAGTTACCACGACCTTCAGGCCCGGTCCCAAATGGAATGAGAAGGTGGATGCCGGTTGGGAGGACGATGTATTCTGTACAGAATAACTGGAGAAGGAGCCGGAAGAAGGCTCGTCCGGCGCCGTGGGAGTGGCGTCCCAAGTGCCCGTCTGGAAATGCGTCAAAGCGTATCAAGACAGGGCACGTCTGACTCGATCTTGAATCTGATTGGTCAATTAGAAAGCCGAGTGGGCGAATGCCAAACAGCCCTGGTGCGCACGTGCAGACGCTCGTGAGAGGCTCAGCGTTGCGACAGGCGCTCGGAGTAGGGCCGCCGCAGATTCAAGCACGCCGGTTTGTGTGTAGTGAGGAGTATGCTCCGAGAATCGACTTCCTTCCCTCTTCCCTCTCCCAGGTACCAGTCCACTGTCCGAGCCGGACAGAATGAGCGCGATAGCTGGCAGAGCTGGACAGCCCGACTGCACGTGTGGCACACACGAGCTGGCCACCCGCACCAAGATTATACAGAAAGGATATCGGCGGCTCGAATCTTACGTGTGTTAGACTAGCAAGCTGCCACATGGACGAAGATCCATTACAGCCCGGATATTGGTCCACAATTCAGGCAGTCCACACAAAAACACACTGGGCTGGCTGCGAGGTCCGAGTTGGCGCTTCAATTGACAACCTCCCAGGCCATGGCTTCTAGCGCACCGCAATAGTCTCGTGCGTGTCTGACTTATTATACTGGTGAATGCCCTGAAGTGCCGTTGCGATGGTGTCCCCTTATATCACAACATATATACTGTACGTCAGCAGCCTCTTCCTCACAATCGCAGGTGTTTCCGCACACTATTTCAGATATTTGAAGGACACTGCAGTCCACCGATCAACAAAAAGCTGGACGACTATGCCGTTATAACGTCTTCATGTCCAGTGGATACGTTATTTGCTTTATAGAGGGAAGCGGGTACGGAGCAAATATATGGTAGTTAAAATAGAAGCAGCCACTAGTCTGGAGAACACTTTTACATTAAAGAAGTTTTCGAGGCGGTCTCTCCGCCGTTACAACTCGCCGGGACAGGCATGACCCATAGACCACGGGTCACACTTCGTTACCCTGTGACATAGCCTAAGGAAACTCTGTTGCTTTCGAAAACCTTGACGGTCATCTGCAGAATAAACGCCACTGATGGGCCTGAAGCCATGCCTGGGAAGCAGGACGGAAATTGCGGGTCCGTGGATACGATTAAAAACTGCAAACTCAGAGTCTAAACCTAGACTCTCAGTTTTCAGTGCGTAGACTAGAAACTGTCCATATTTTTAGTCTTTGATGGAGGACCATCCTAGACTCGGGCCGCTCAACGAGAGAGCGTCTTATAGTTTAGGCGTAGTTTTCAAATGTCGACTCCACCGTCAACAAGTATACAATCTTTCCTTCGGTTTACTGGGTCCTGTCTCATTATCCACACAAGTCCAAAACAAGACGGGAGCATTATTCTTAAGAAACCCGCCCAATTACGGCCCGACAACGAACTCATCCGGCGAGGAGGCCCAGGAGCTACCAGATCAAACAACTCCCACAGAAGTCCGAGTAAAATCTGTCAGTTTGATGACTAATGGTGGAAGCGGTTCTCAAAGCCGCCCAACTTCTGCAACAACGAGGGTGTAGAAAGAGACCAAAATCGAGCGGCGCCTGCCAAGTCATTTGAATTTCTGTTCGTTTTTTCCGCATTTTACGATTTTAAAAGGACAATGTAACAGATCCCCTCCTCCTTAAATGATTACCCCCTAATTCTCAGCTCTAACAACCCGAACTTGGTGCTTATTAACTTCATGAATAATGAAATAACGTCCATGAGACAGGCTTGGCCTTCATTTTTTAACATTATTCTATGGTAGAACACGGAAATATGGACTCTCTGTATTACAGGTGACATCATACTGAATCCGAAGGGGTTTAGCGCTCGGGTTAAAGTTAGGGCACGTGAATAGGTTCGCCTTGGAATTCAGCGCAAAGCCACCTGTGGTGCGGGAGGTCCTTATTCCTGTGTCTAACCTATTCTCCCTCTAGTAAGGCGCATTTGTTGTCAAAATATCTGCATATTAACTTTGTGGATTGGTATATGACCGCAAAGATGAACTTCTCTTCTGGAAGAGATAACCTCTTACCATATCCTATCTAATTAAAATTGCTTGGTAGATAGGAATTCTTATCAAAAAGACCATACATATCTGAACGTTCCCAGAACCTGATAAGGTCTCCGAACCAAAATTGTTCATATTCAGACTCCTGGGATGTGTCTTAGACTTGGAGCTTATGTATTGGGTTAAGGCTGTGGAATCCAACGTCCGCTTAATGGGGGTCTAACTGGAAACTGCCCGCTAATTATTTCAACAGGAAGCTTTTAGTGATTCGTCAAAAAACATTCATCCAAAATTTGATTGCAGTTTCATTGTAGGCATTATGGGAAGCTTGGAATGTGGCTTACCAGTACGAACTAATTATCTGTTTGAAATTCTCTACGAGTAATTCCATTATTCCTATCTCCCAAAATGTACTAAAAGTACATACCTAACTTCACTACCTCCCCCATATTTCTCATGTACGCATAAGACAAAAAAAGGTCTTGCATGATTTCGGAGCAAAATTTTTGAAAATCAAAACTCATCCAAAGATGCGTTACAAGGAAACTTTAGAATGTTACAACTGATGTTGTGATATATGCCACTGCCTTACAACTTGTCTGTCAAAAGTCTTCGTTACTGTGCCGTTGTTCGAGCCGCCTGGACAGGAAAACGCCTCCAGTTTTCACCACACCCTCATGCTGCTCGTTTTTAGGGAAATTTCTTATTGGTTGCCTCGCTTTCATTGTGCGGGATGCGTTAGCACACTTTTCTTAACTCATTTGAATATTGCCTAGCCGATGACGTTAGTCACCCCATGACATCCAATCACCGCATTTCAACAACAAAGTAAGTTTAAGAGGGAACAGCCGCAAATAGAGGAAAAAGCATATAAGCAGGCGAGGCTGTGACCCATTATTCTTTCACTGACCAACAACCAGTAACCGGTAAGTGAATCCGAATTATCTGTGCTTTCTCTCTCCCTCTCCCTCGAACTTCTCCCTGCCCCGTTTCTCAAACACAGCCGTATGAAAGGCTACTCTCTTAATTAGTATGCCGCCGGACGTTTACCTGGTGACTAATTTATTAAGAATGGTCTAGAAATCCTCCTAAAATATGCGGTTGCGTAGTAAATGTTTACCTCATATTTAACCATAAATAAATTCAACTAGATATCATACACCGATGTACTTAGTGACCAAACAACAGAAGTTATAAACAGCATTTCTTCCACCTTTCAGCTTGGACAAAAAAATGTTCGCCAAAATCGCTTTCATTAGCGTTCTCAGTTGTCTGAACGCCATGGCGGCTAAGCATTCCGAGTTTCCGCAGTGGGATCTAACACCGTGGGTAGTATCAAGCATCCCCAATAATATCACTCTCCCCTGCGTGCACGACGAATACTACCCATTCAATTCACTTAAGTCGGCTGCAAAGAAGACGGTCTGGATTCTCCCAAAAGAGACTGGCTACCTGCACCTGGCTCCGGGCAGTACGGCAGAAGGCTGGACCGCTCAAGACGAGGCCCTCTACATCCGTAAAGACCTCTTCAATGTTCCCGGCGTGGCTGACGGCATGTACGTCTGCGCCGTACTCGCCAAGGTGCCCAACTCAACTGACCTCTTCTCCTGGTACTACCTTCGATGGGGGGTCGGGCTCTACTCCAGTGTGCCAGCTATGAATCCTGGTGGTATTGAACGGTAAGCACTCGTCTACTTTGTTTATTTACTAAGTTATCCGACAGTATTTTGGCTTTTTGTCCTGTCATCCCAAACCATGTGTCGTAATAGCCAAGCTCACTGATAGAGAATAGACTATTTGCGACAGATCATAGAGCCTACAACTAATGATGTGTTTTCCTCACTGATAACAGATATGCCCGACAATTCATGATTGCTGGTGTCGCGCTGGCAGTCTACACTGTTCTCGCAATTGGCCTCGGCCTGACAATGTACTTCCGCTACAAGGGTGGACCTGTTAAGCAGGAAGATGAAGAGGACCAATCATCGGAGAGCACAGTTTCTGACAAAGACTCCGACCAACACGTCGTGCATTTTTAACTCTCCCATTTGTAATTCCGCGTTTTTCTACTGTCACTCATGTTATCCAACAATACTTCGGCATTTAAACTCCCCCCACCACCTATCTGCAAGCTGTTTTTCATCTTCCGAATACTCCTTGTAATTATCCATCATATCTCAAATATTCCCCTGCGAAATTTGTATGAAAAGTTTGTAATTAAATGCTTTGATCGCAACGATTTTTTCTTACCGATCGTGTTATGTATTAAAGGACAGATTTTCAGCTTCAGTCCTTTGTTATAAGTATAAGGGGACATTTTATCGATGAGCGATTATGCAAGCACTTTTGCTGCTCCCGAATGAGTGGGGGAGACATCTGAATGGCGAAATTTTTCTAAGCCCAGAAAATGCCATACATTAGCACCAAAAGACTTAGTGTTTTTCGCAAAACCAGACATTATTGGCATTTTCGAATGGGCCTTTTGCATCCACTCTATGTAGAGTTCCCAATAAAATGACCGTTTTCGTCCCAGGAAGTCAAAATAAAACTGTAGATTTTTGCGGTATTCCTCATACGGGCAACCATCAGTTACTCCCCGGCTTGCATAATCGGTACTCTAGTTGGAAACACCTTTGAAGATGCTTTTTTCATTTGCACAAGACAAAACATGTAGAAAATCAACAAGCATATCTGATACCCTTATTTTATTAGAAAGTTGATTCCTAGGAGGCATAACAGAAGGCGCAGTGTCTACCTGACTGAGTTTGTCGTACGCCTGACGTTTTGAAAACAACTTCGACCGTCTATCACCATAGACTGGTGGCTTCAAGGTAGGATTCACATAATAGGGTGTATGGTTGCGGTGCATCGTTTAGCCTAGCTGGTGGATCACCGGCGCGGACTGAGGAGTGGTTCCTTCTGTCTGTGTCTGTTCCTTCATGTCATGTCCAAATGCCTCTCATACAACCACCTGACAATGCGGCGCTGACGGGACAGTCTATGTTATGCAAGAAAATCCACGCGCTGCCCAATACAGGACAACAGGATTAAAAGATGTTTAAAGTAGCCAATGAGCTGGCTATCTACCCACGTATGAGGACTTCTCACTGTAGCCCTGGACTGAAAAAACATATTGAACCAAAGGTATAATGTTCTTTAATGAATAAAAGTCTCACACGCACTGCAATGCCATTGCCGTATAAATTAAGAGACATTGGCGCGCCAAAATACTGCGAGGATATCACTGACAAAGACTGATGAGTGGCGAGGACCACGAAGGCGGTTTTGACATTGTCCTATCGTCTTCCGAGAAACCACAAAGCTAGTGTTTTTCTCCGGTCACTCATCTCACTTTGAGACATGTCTACTTACGAGTTTGAATACTGACTGAATACTGACCATCAAATGACAATGGAAAGGTTGGATTTGACGTCGCAGATGGAATTACATGCCGATCAGGCTGATCACATGCTCAACCTTGATGAAATCTAGATCCTTGGCCGCGGGGATCACCGCTCAGTAAGAACAGTGGATGAGGAATAGCCGTATGACAAACGCTCAGGTAATCTTAATCTCGATCTGGTAGTTTCTTGCGAGGCCTTAAGATCTCACCCGATACGAGTTTAGAGAAGGCCATTCAGCGAAGACTGCTTCATCTTCTTCGATTGAATACTATCACATTACGATAGTTATGTGTCTAGTCTTCTCAGGTGAGTGCCAAACAAATCCAACGAACCGGTTTAACACTGTCCGCAAATTAGTAGATAAATGGCATGCAGGTAGAGATTTATGTAGTAGTTCCAGTCCTCACGTCGCGGTCACATACGGGTTCAGTAACCTACTAAACAGGTCCTAGCAAAAATCCCCTTTGCTGTAAGTTCTACCTTTGCTCCTGTTTGCAGGAAGATCCACGACTTAACTCTTTTCCCAATATACATAAATATAAGATCCCGGCACAGTAATTCTCCTTTATAACCAACACACTCGTTCGTACTAGTGAAATCTTTGTACACTTACGTTTCTGTCTGAAGTGAGGTTTACTAGAGCGTAAAGGAGGGACATGCACCAGTCCACTCTGTCCGTAAGGGGGAAATGGAACTTTCTGGAGCTGAGGGTCTGCAGCCACTCGGGCGATCGCACGGTGGCCAAGCAATCTGCACCCGAGCACGCTTATTGAGAGAGACAGGACTCCGATGGCTTGAACGAAAGTTTGTCTTACCTTGTTTCAGCAATCGATTCTGCTCCGTCTCAAGGATATGCATTACTAGTCTACAGGACAATGAAAATTTATGAAAGATGTCGAGAGATAGTTCTACCATCGTTGCCGACGATGTCCACCGTGTGTCCCATAGCATGGTGGGTGCAGGAACGGTGACTTGTGCGTGAACTAATTTGTAGTTATAGTAGAATTGCCTTGCATCAAACGCACTCCCTCTTCTCTCATCCAGGACAACTCTCTTTGCGGTTACACTTGCAAATTCGAATGCTTTTGGCTGCCCGTAGGGATCCCAGCCGATCAAGGTGTTGCCAGCACTTGCAAAAGTAAAGGAGCTAGCTGAATTCTGCACGCTCATAAGGCATCACGTACTTACGGAGACCTTCGGTTTTCACCTATAATTGGTTTTCAGCTGCACACCTTGCTTGTAAGTTCCAGAAATCTGCATACCCGTATTATTTTGGGATCGTGATTGGTGGACAGTGGATGTTGGGTAGATGAAAGAAGGCCATCCTCTTCAGTATGTTAGAGGGATCTCAACAAAGTCCAATCTACGAGCTTGTTTTATGTACTCTTCT